TTAACTATTTGTTTAAAAATTCCTCTAAATATTTCATATCCTTTATTCATTTTCTTGAATCCTTAGATCCCTTAATATACTATACCCATGGCTCTCTGAAATCCTGAATTCCAGAAATTCTCGATTTTCGGCCCATTTACACTGTGCAGCAATGCAGTTGGTTCGGGACTTGGTCAGCTGCTGCTTCTGCCTGTTTTACATAGGCTTGGGCGTTTGTCATAGCAACAACAATAATCAGAACGACATTGGGGGAGGTGTAGCAACAACATAAACACGGGAAACGGAAACGGACAAGAGAAGGCGGCTGCAGGAGGGAATGGGGATATGGGATAAATGGTGGGGTTTACGAGGTGTGGGGCGTCGGCCATTCCCGGTCCTTGTTGACGTCAGTCATAGAGCGTGCAAATGTTGACCTACATACAAAACTTTGAGCAAACAGGCGCATAAATGCCACGTTAAACAACAGCAGCAGGAACATCAGCAGCAACGTCGCGCAGTGCAGATAAGTCCGCCTTTTTGCCCAGCTGCCAACGCATTGTTAGAAATTGTCGGAGGACATGGCCAGCCGGCATAGTTAATAGCCCATAGACATAGTCACCGACATGGCCATAGCCAAAGCTATAGTTTTGCATATATGCACTGGCAAAATCGAGAACATTCCAAGGGGGCAAAAAATTTCAGGAATTTTATGGCCAGAACTAAAAATATTTAAAAAACTATCTGTTGTAGTTAAGTGTTGCAATTGCCACTTCAAGCAAAATCATAAATATTGAATAATTAAATATTTTATTTATAAATGTAACTATCTTCGAGCTAAGAGGTTATATAGCATTTATTTCTCTAGAAATTTTGTGTTATTTCTGGTGGTAACATTTAATTTTCCTACCATACTTCGCAATTATATAAAATTACATTTTCTAAAACTATCTAGAAACTTTCTCTAATTTGTTTTCCGTGAACTGTTGCCTTTGTTATTGTTTTTTAATACTTACCAGCATCATAATTGTTATGTAGATTTATAGAATTGGGTTGACTGGCCAACGGTGACCGGTCCCTAGCATCGGATATGAACCAGCCCCATTTGAATGCATCCAAACAATGCCTCTCTACCCCTCCATTGTGAGCCAAGAAACGAATGACCAACTGAACTGAATAGACTAGAATTTTATGGGATGAGACTCGAAGAAGTGTCTCCCTTTTCGAAATTTACAGCGCCGCCGGGGAGTTTCCGCTTTTTGGCACGATGCATGTAACCATACAGAGAGAGTGGCCAAGGCAGCTGGTCTGCCTACCAGGCTCCACCTGGCCAGCGACTACTCCACCATGGCCAGGTCTAATGATGACGGAGTGGGGCGAGTGGTCTCTGAACAGTGGCCATAACGGTTGACGCTTCCCTGGCCAACCAGTGTTGTTTTTGCTCCCTGTAACTGCTCCTGCTCCTGCTTTGGCTCCTGTTAGCGCTCCTCCCTCCGTGTGTAGATACGCATTGGCAGTTAGTCAGTTTATCAGTTAGTCAGTTTGTCATTCCAGGCAACCAACAAACAAACATGCTCTCGCTGCTTGAGCCAAAGAGTGTAGCCGATGTTGGGGCAGAGCTGGCTTTCGAAAGGATCAAAGCTTTAAATACTCTATCGTTAAATAATGAAACATTAACAAAAAGGGAAGCTAACTTAGGCACGAAAAAGTTTATTATTTACAATTTTACATTTACCGCCATGTATTTCCCTCTATTTTTAACGCTCGTTTATATAGCAGCTATATGATATAGTGCCCGATTTTCATAAAATTGTACACAGAATTCTTGACTTAAATATATTGGTTATAAATAGAACTTCATATGTTCTAATTTTTTCTTAAAATGTTCCTATCGTTCCTATGTCAGCTATATATACGTATATATATAGTCCACCGATTCGCCATGCTTTTACTAGTATGTACTAGTAAAATTATATAAAAATTAACTCCATAGTTTCCTTCAAATACCTTGCTTTTAAATTTGTCCCAAAAACAAATCTCGCACATCTGCACATATGATTCCCGACTGGTTCAAACATCCTGCTGCCGGCCAAGTCTCAGAAATGTGTTGTGTTACAAAAGTTGCAAGTCATTGTTTATTAGTGTTTAAAGTTAGTAACTGATCGTACATACTTACTGGTCATAGATACTTACCGATCAGAGTTTCTTACTGCTCATAGCTACTTAATTAAATAGCTCGCTGTTTCTCTCCGACTCTCCCCCTCTCTCTGTATGCATATCGCTCTATGTTAGTCTCTAGAGGCAACTCTATTCTCCCGCCCACTCACACTCACTTTCTCTGCTCCACTCTCTCCTCGGGGACTATAAATAGAGGCGCTGAGGTCGCGCGCGCCTCAGTCTGTCCTAGGGGTACCTAGTGTTAACATCGGTAGTGATAGTGCAAGTGATCACCCTTTGAGACCAAAAATATGACGTGGCCAATGCAATGCATCTGGATGACCAGGATGAAGTCACCCAATCTTGGTTACTACACTGGAAGGAAGTAAGCAATGACGAAAGAGCCACGTGTCCTCTACTGCGGTAAGTCTTAGCCATGACTTGTATATTATTATATTATTACATTATAATATTATATTCCAATTAATGGTCCCCTTTACATACTTAGTGGTCATAGATACTTAATGTTCAGACTTATACAAGAGTGAGAGTATATAGATGACTAACTGTTAGCATTGAAATCACAAGGACTCTATATTTTGAAAGGGTAAAAACCAGGTTTGTTAACAAACACAGATACACAAACGCATACCAGGATAAAACTCAATGAGTCAATGACTTTTTGGTGTCGCTCGTTGATGCGCAACGCGGTCCCGTTGTCATTAGCAGCGACACCCGGACCGGCACCGCCTCTGCCACTGCTGCTGATGCCACAACCACTGCCAACAAGGACGACAAGGACACCGTCACGCTCACAAATGCAAGTCACAATCACTCACACACTCACAGTGCGAGGCACTCATGAATATGGTTACTGTTGCCATGTTTTTTTTTTTTTTTGTGTGTTGCCTGTATTTGGTGTTTTGGGCTGATTCGTTGTCGGTGTTGCTGTGGGAAATGCGAGCGGGTCCAAAATATGTACATTTTTGGCAGCCAAACAAACACGTTTTTGGCTTATGTTTTATTGTTGTTGCCTTTGTTGCGGCTGCGGCTGCTACTGCGGCTTTTGATGCCGTTGTTGCGGCCGCTGTCCTTGGCGCTGTTGCCTAATGTGTGCCAACACCATCATCACCAGGCAGTAGCAGCCAGGCCCCAACCACCCAACCACCATCGTCGCTTTTTACGCATTCACGCGTCCTAAAAACAAGAAATTGGCCAACGACAAATGTCCCCAAAAAAGAATGAATGCACTGCGAGGAAAATGTGATTTTTAAATAATATTTTTTCGACTAAAACAAACTGTAAATTATAGTAATATAGTATGAATATATAACTTTTCACAACTAAATAAAGTGATTATATTAATTTCATGAGAAATATGTTCACTAAAGTTCCAGAAACATTAAACAAAAATGAATACTCTATCGTTATGTTATTCTTAAGCAACAAGAACCATATTTTGTTATATAATCTTTCACAACAATCACTAGAAATATTTTTTATTAGTGCCTCCAATTTGGAATTGCGCATTATTAGGCTAAATATTATGAATCTTGGCAGCTTTCACACTGCCCTGGTGTTTGTGGCTGTTCTTTTTTTCCCCCTGGAAACGAGTATTTGCCCCGCCTTGTTGGCCATAATTTCCCCTGATGCTCATTAGCAGGGATGGCCAAAAAAAAGTAAAATAAAATAAAAATAAAAGTAGACAACATTTATGCGACGACAGGAAGGACTTAAGTGTGAAATTGCTTTGCATAATGCCAAGTAAATTATGGGGGCAAATATTGAGTCCATTAACTGGGTTGCCAGAAACCGAATGCTGCCGAATGCCGGCAAAGTTAATGAGTTATTTTCAAGAGCCACCATCTATATAGGATGCTTGATTAATTGAAAGTAAATGAGATTTGTTGACTCACTCCGGGCACGATAAGGGAGACATCAACATGATGCCTAATCTATGCCAACGAAGATGTAGCTGGTCGAAATAATTGAAACATTGAGCCAGGCACTCACGCATGTGGCTAAGCCACCACCCAGGCCCCAGTGGCACCCAGTTTTATGGCCAACCGCCCAACTGGCCCGGTCCAGTGTAAACACAGCTGTTCGAGGGACTCGTGCTCGCAGGCCTCGTGCCTAACCACAGACAACAAACGCAGCCGTGCGGCGCAGGCGCAGAGAGTAACGCATCCCATCATGGACGGGGCTGCCAACTGCACTGCTGAAAAACCATGACTTTGGTGGCATCTGCTCCCAACCGGGTCCGGCAGTTGCTGTTCGAGGCTCGAAGGATACGCACGGCTCTGGCGGACGACGGAAATTGGACTGAAAATGTATCGCGACTGAGTTTGAGTGAGCGCGCGCGTGTGGTGAATTTCCGGCGGTGAAGAGAGTCCGGAAGAGAGCCGACAAGGGTCCGACGGCGTCCCTAGAAGAGCTCCTCCAAACACAGTTCGGTGCGAGGCGCAGTCAAGACGAGTCCTTGCTGGCAGTCGGTTGTCCTGGCGGGAGTGATTTCATATATCGAACGTATGGCATAGTGCGCCGGCCATGCAGTCCCACAGAACATAACAAAACACCATCAAATCATCAGCGAAAATCATCCAATCACCAGAGTGAAAATATCAAAATAAATAGAGAAAGATTCGAATGTGCCAAAAAAGAAAAGTATATTCAAATTAAAAGAGAGAAATATCAAGTGTCTGAAATGTAAAACCGCTCAAGAGTGAAAGCCAAATCAAATCAAAATTTTTGTACAAGTCACTGCCCCGACACGGAGATTCCTGAAAAAGCTCACAGCGAGAGAAGAAAAAATAAATAAATAAAAGCGCATAAGTATACCACGACCAATTCAAATCAAAATCGGAATCAAAACAGAAGCCGGAAAACATGTGGATTAGTAGCCGCTTTTTCGTGATTTTCCTGCTCCTTCATATCGGTAGGTGCTCCACAGTTCGCCGGGAAAACTCTTAAGCCGGCCTGCCGGCATTTTCGGGGGCGCCTTTTCTCGGGTTTTCCTAAGTCGCTTGGCACGCGCTGCAAAGTATGCTTTTGTTTTCGCACACCGGCTGTGCGTGTGGGTCTTTGCACCCTAAGTCCCAACAGCTGTCGGCATGTTGTTCTTCCTTACTTTCTTGTTCGCTTTCGGGATCCTGGCTTACGCCTCCGAAACGGAACTTATTATTAAGTCTTGCGGAGTAAAACAAAAGGATTTTGGGATTTTGCGGCACATCCCAGCCGGCTTAAGGGGCTTCCTCTTCTCCATGCCATCCTGACGCTTCCAGGAATTATCGTCAGGCAGGGCAATTACTCACTTTATTATCATTCAAAGCGATATTCCAGACTGGCGCAGCTCATGGCGATTCATACGAGGAGGTGGCATAATTTATGATATACGAGAACTAAGTGCAAATGACTTGGTCGCTTTGCGGAGACCAAAGCCAAGACCGGAGACCATAAAACTGCCGGCAAAACTAAAGCCGAAATGCCCCTTCATAATATGAAATTGCCTTATGATAAAAACCAGGCGTCAATTTATGCCACAAGAAACGACTATCCCCCCAGTTCGTCTATAAATATGTGTGCACTAAGAGAAAAGAAGAATTTGTTTGTAAAATAAAAATAATATTCAAGAAGTTGAGGGTCTAAGGATTATGTATACTTCGCTGAAATATTCTTTAACTATTAAAAATAATATACTTGATTATTTTAAACTGAAAATAATATTAGGAGCCTAATAAATTTATTGTTGTTGTGTTTAAACTAATTTTCGTTTAACTACTTTTGTCTAATTTTATACTGCTTGCTGGGTAATATAGTTTCACTCAGAAGCTTAAAACATAGTGAAGGAGTCTTTTCCGACCCTATAAAGTATATATATTCTTGATCAGTATTAACAGGCGAATCTTTTTAGCCATCTCTGACCAAAAAAAATTTTAACATTTTTTTTATAAATTTTCAAGGGTTAAAATTACATCATTACAACTTTGAAAAATTGATAAAAATTTAGTTTTTTAAAATATCTAAATACAGTATGCAAATTTATTAACCTAATAAAAACTAACACGGGAAAGCTTTCCGAATTAAAATTAGTGCTATTTTGGCTGAGTTAAGAGATTTTTAAATTTTGATTTTCCTAAAAAAAATTCATTCAGAGACGTTCTGGTAGATTTCCATTTTCTCGCTGTGGAATTGATTGTATGTGTGTGCGGGACAGCCTAATGAAATGTGTCAGGAGCAGAGTCCTGGCCCTCGCCCTCGCTCTAACACTCGATCGACCTCACCGACCTCTTCATATTTGCGGAGCCTGGGTTGTGCCGGAGAGAGAACCTTTTTCGAAATTTGATATTTTCCAATTTTCATTGCCCGGCTCTGGCATTCGATGGGAGACTGACTGGCTTACATGTCTATTCGCCACCCAAAAAAAAAAAATGGAAAATATGAAAAAATATTATCAAAATGCCACACAGATATTTCATGATTGCCACACCACAAGGAGCATACATATATATGTTTTCGCACCCTCGCACCGAGGCTCCGAGACTCGGAGCAAATGAAAAATATGCAAATGAAATTGTTGCTCAATGTCTAAAGCGCACACACACTTTTGCTCTGTGGCTCTGGGCTGTGAGAGATGGCTCATATTTTTCGGTGTTGTTATTCCATTTCCAAGCAGATAAACATAAAATATAATACGTTATATAAAATCAGCACCGACAACAACAACAGCTACGAAGGGAAATCCGATTAGATTGTGGAGCTGGGTGGAAAGAAAAAGGGTCCTGGAAAATTCTGATGGGAAAATTATGAAAAATTATGGCCAACGGCAAAGTTTGCAGCGCACTATGATTGATTAGGTTTTAAACCGTTTATGACAAACGCTTTAATTTGTTGTAGGATTAATGAAGTGCAAGGGATAAAGTTTAAATTAAATGCTCACCAGATGTTGAAGCAAACTTCACGAAGGAACTTTATTTTCTGTAATTCTGGTAGAGAAATATTATTAATGACTTAACCTAGCATAGTAAAAGTTTCTTGAAATTGTTCTCAAACGATAAATGAAGTTTTTGTTCAATGCTTTGAAGGCAATTTTGTAATTAAAAATTAAATTTAGAAGGTTTCAAGGAAAAGCTTGAGGTACTATTACCTTAGAACTGTTTTTTCAGACAAAGCATTAACTGTTTAATAAATTTCTACATAGATAAGTGATAAAATTCCTAACAATATCCTTTAAATATTTAATTTGAACTCTAAGAGATTCCGCTTATAGTGTTCATAAAAAACAACTCTGGCAATATTAAAATCTAAAAATACTTTCATCTATAGACTTTGTTAAATTTCGTCTTGGATTTGTTTGGATTTCCCAAAATTCTCTTGCTACTTTTACTATGTACTCCTTTTTCATTCCGTTTTGCCTTATTTTGGCAAAACAATTTCGCCCAACAAAGATTTTGAACGTCTTATTGGACCTTCTTTAGACCCCATTCCACCCAAGTGCTGTGTGCACTTTGGGCCAACTGGAGCACATCTCACTGAGATCGAACGGGAATCCGGCGAAGGCAGCAACAAAATCAAGTTATTTACAATTATTATTCCTTTCGTGGTTGTTGCTGCGCGTTGGTCTGTAAACTTTTTAACTTCTTTCAAGTTTTTCTTTTTATTTTTTGTTATTTTTTTTTGCTGTTGTTGCTGTTGGTGGCCAAGCAATATTGAGTCGATATCTATGGGCGTTTTGGGTCACGCCTTCCTGCCGCTGGTTTTTGCGCATAAAATTGAATTTCCTGTATTTTTCGAGCTGATTGCTTACAAGATTCGGCCCACCATTTCCGGTCGATGGCGAAGCATCCTTGGTAGGACCTTCTACAGTTTTAAAGTCCCTTTTTTGCAGCTGAACTGACTTTAATGGTTGAGTTTTGGCTGGGTCTTGGATCGTGGGCCATTAGAAATATTACCACTGCATTGCTAGCTGAATTTAGAGACACTGCAGCCACACAACATGCATCACCATAGCCCAAATGCACTGGGGGAAAATTCTGTACTTTGCCAGAAAAGTGGAGTATCCATGGAACTTTTTCAAGGATACATTTCTTAATGGTATTAAATGTTTAGAGCCCAATAATTTTTCTTGGATTTATGTTTAAATTTTTTGAAGTTAAATTGATCATTTGCTATCATTTTTCTTGGATCAAAGTTTAAATTTCAAACTGTAATGCAGTTTAAACCCTTTTTGTTCTATATTTTTTTTTACCATGTGGGGTGGCTACGAAATAATTTCGAAAAGTGCCAAAAGGGCATAATCCAAGCTGGAGAAAAAAAATGCAAAAGGAGTAAAAAAATATAAAACGGGTAGAAATAAAGAACACACACACAGAAAATAATGTCTGAGGAGCCTGGCAAAGTAACCCCTCAAGACTCGCACAAGTGGATGGGAAACACATTCGGAGTGAAAGAAGTGAAATGTACGACACAAAACGAGCGGAAATGCGAGCCAAAGTAGAGAGGGGATGCAGGAACATGGCAGGGTCCTTGGATGGGAAGGTCCTGCGGCTGTTGCAGTTGCACATCCACAGAGGGACGCTGTGCTGCAGGTAATGCAGCAAAACCGGAGCTGGGAAAACAATTTGGAAAAGAAATTTGCGGCAAATGGAGACAGTTCAAATGCGCTTTTGCATTTGGCCAAAGAATGTTGTCAGAATTGATTGGGAAACACTCAATTGTATCGGGGTAAAGGTGCTGCAAATACTGTGGTAATGCATATTTAGGTAAATGCATTGTAATTTTATATTGGGAATCTTTTAAGGATTTTATATACTTATTTTTGAGATTTAAATTGCGGTGTTTGGGTGTTTTTTTACTCTAGATTAAATTATAAATACTTTTAATTATTTAAAGAACCTTGAAAATTTGAAAAGCCTACTTTAGAACAATGTCCCAAATTTCCTCAAGTATTTCCATGATTTTTGAATTCGTCATTGGGCCCATTGGAATAGGCCAAAAAGGAAGTCGAGCATGCAGCACCAAAAAAGAGACGTCAGAATCGGTATAAAGCACACTCACACATACGTATAGGCAGGACTTTCAGGAAGTACACATACGCATAGGGTGGACTTTTGTTTTCGGAGGAAAGAATAAAACCCCTACAAGTGGATGTTCTCACCGACCCACACACCCACATGTACACAACCACACCACACACTCTCATGTGGGATCTTGCTCCAAGGCACACAGGCTCGTAAAACATACCCTTTCTACCAAAAAAAAAAAACACAAAATGAGAAACGAGTGGCAAGCATACTCAAGACATACTTGCAATAATTTTATGGCCTGGCAGAGGCCTCAGTCTTTATCCGTATCCTGGACCAGGGGCTACGAAGGATACACGGGGAAAAATAATGATTCAATGACCTCTCAATTAATGCCATTTTCTAGTTATATATCAAGTACGTGTTGTTTATATTAATGCTAAAATAATAATAGTGATACATTAAGGATACCTTAGCAAATCTTAGGGTGTACAGCTTTCTCGTTAAATAATCCTAATTTTAAAAAATGCCCATTCAAGGCTTTATAAATCTTGTGTGAATTATAAAAAATAATGATTATAATTAATTTATGCTTTTAAAATCACATTTATTGATTAGTTATTTATTTATTCATTGCTAATTTTCACCGTGTGAGGAGTTTTGATGAGAGAGAGCCATGAAATCAACGGGGAAAACGGAAAGAAACCATCTCAGAGGACGAGGCGATGAGACAGACGGAGACGAAACCAGAAAGCAGTTACATAAAAATCCATGCTGTCGAGCATAAAACAAAAAGCTCCTGGCCAGGCACAACAGCAAAAAAAAGCAGAAAAAAACGTACAAAAAGAACAAAACACAGAAAGGCAAAACAAAAAAAAAAAAGTGGAGGGAGAAAGCAAAAAAAGAAACCAACAAAAAACAACTCTAATTGCAGACACAATGACTTGTAGGGGGCGGGAACTGGGAGGAGAAGAGCAGATCCTGGCCAGGACGACTGACTGCTGGAGATTGAACGAGTTGCAAGGATTTGCACAGCGCCGCAGGGAAAGATGCCCGGTTCGGTGGCATGGCAGACAGCCGAGGCGCATTCATGTGGAATATGAAGCGAAATGTCAATTTGGAGAAATATATATACATATATATATGCAGCAGATATATATATATATATATAGAGGAGTCGTCATATACCTATATGTATCTGGGTTTGAGGGCCACAGGGACCGAAAACCCAGAAGCTGCTGAGCTAAGGATGAAATTGTTATTCTAATTTAGGATAAGGCTAAATCTGTTTGCACGCGAGGATCCGGGGATCTGATGAAACGAAAACGGGTTTCAAATGCGACACAATGGTTGGGTATTATATAAAATGTAAATGCTTATTAAAGTGCAAAAAGGTCCTTGAGGATTTGCGTACCCAAATCAGGCCATCGGCCTTTTTATGAATTTTTGATATCTCTCCGGGATTATTGCTTTTGTTTATTGCATCTTGAGCTTGAATATTTTACAACGCTTTTACGCGTTGGATAAATGATGTATGGCCCGCAGAATATGTATATATATTATAATCAAAAATTCATATCTTGAAATTGCTCTCTTGCTTTTTTGATAAACATTAAAATATTCTGTTTTTTAAAAGGGGTTATGAAGGCTTTAAATATTGAAAAAGGGTAAAGATTTTGTATAGAAGAAAGATACTGAATAATTGTATTGAAACCCCATTTAAATAATGTTTTTTATGCAGCTAGGAAATATGCAATTTTTTAATTTGTCAATTTATTTCAAACTTTACCTAATCTCTCCCTTTTTTAATCACAGATACCACCTGCAGTGAACCGTTCGAGGCGCACCTACGCGGTCCCGGCTTCGTGATGGAGCCACCGGGGCGCGTGGAGTTCTCCAACTCTTCAGGTGGATGGCTGGATTGCTCCGCCTCCGGGAGTCCACAGCCGACGATCGATTGGGTGCACGCGGACGGCACGGCGGTGACGGAGATACATGGAGTGCGGCGAGTCCTGCGGAACGGTACACTCGTCCTGATGCCATTTGCGGCAGCAGCCTATCACCAGGAGGTGCACAATACCATATACCGATGCATTGCCAGCAATTCGGTGGGTCGCATCGTCTCACGGGACGTGCAAGTCCGTGCTGGTGAGTAAGAGATGCGTGGCTCTGCCAGGGATTACTCATTTTTTGCATATTAAAATTCTGGTCTCTACACTCCGACAGTCGTGGCGCAGGCCTACAAAGTGGATGTGGAGGTGCTATCGGCGTCGCGCGGCTGCACCGCCATCCTGCGCTGCGTGGTGCCCACGTTCGTCAAGGAATTGGTACGAGTGGTCTCCTGGGTTCATGAACCCGCTATCTACATCTATCCCTCGCTGCAAGGCGGTAAGTAATCGGGGGAAGTCTGTCTGTTTGCTGCTGCCAGAAAGGACACAGCACGAAACGAAACGTAACGTAACGAAGCGAAGCGAGTCCTTTCGAGCCGGCTTCTGAATCCTGGCATACTTGTCCTGTGCCAGCGGCCTGCCAAGCCAACAAAGTGCATTGTTTGTTTGCAGCATTTGCCTCACATGTTTGCCTGCTTAACTGCACCTTCACCAGACCACTCTGCTCCTCTGTCCTTTGGCGAATAATTAACATTGTCCTTTAGCAATTTGAGACGAGCTGCTAGTCCTAGCTGTCTATATTACAAAGAAGATTTTCTCTGTACCTTGGGAAATTCGTTTTACTGTCCGCTTGTGTCAGGAATAATCTATTTGAAAAGGTCAAGAGTGTCTGGCGGAAGATTTAAATCTATATTTTGCCAAAGGATAAGAGTTCATGTTTTATATACTATAAGGCAATTTCTTTAAGGTACTTATATGTGAAAGTAATATAAGGTTTTACTTAAAATTTTCGACTGGTTTTTACTATTTCGTGAAAGATTTATGTTCACTTTTGTTTCCAGTGCTTTCTGTGTCGAATTTTTTTGTCATGAGCTAGTTTTTTGGTCCTTGGCTTAGGTCGTTGGCTCCACTACCTCAGTGCAGGACAGTAATGGACTCATCTCTTCTCTCTGCTGCTCTATCCCCAGATGGCAAATTCCATTTGCTGCCCACCGGCGAACTGCTCATCCACAATCTGCAGGAGAGCGATGAGTCGCAGTCCTTCCGCTGCCGCAGTATGCATCGTCTCACCCGCCAGGTGGTCGTCAGCTCACCCACCCGGCTGCGTATTAATTGTGAGTATACCCAGACCCAGATCCAGGGACTCCAGAGCGAACCAAGAACCCATAACCCGAACGTTACCCCAAGCCAATGTCACTCCCATATATACATACATACAAACAAATATATACATCCATCGTTTCCATCATCTCTCGCCGCAGCGCATCGCGGCATCATTTCGCCGAGCGTGGTGGAACACACGGCTCATGTGCAGGTGTCACAGGACGAGGGCGCAGTGCTGCTGTGCGTCGCCCAGGGCTGTCCTTCGCCCGAATACAGGTGTGTATGGGTATGGAATAGGTTGGGGGATATACAGGTATGGTTATATAGGTGCCGCAAATCGATGGCCTACCCACTCCCACTCCTTTTTGAAGAGTCCCCATGCTCAATCCCATGCTCGCTGAGAGCTTTAGCACACATTTCTGGGGCGAAACTTTTGACGTTGACAGGCACTGGCCTCACACACACAAACTAACACGCTATTAGTTATTAGTTCACTTGAAGAAAAGTAACATAAATGAGAACACTTTTCTTATAAAATAGATAAAAAGTGCAGAGTCTCTGATTTACAATGATTCTTGGTAGTTTTTTCATGTTTATTACAGAAATATTTTAAAATATTAAATTTATTTATTTATTTTATTTATTTTCTGTCAATAAAATCACACAAATTAAACTTCAAAATCGTATGAAAATAATATACTAATTATTAGGACTTGATTAATAAGTAAGCTCTGATAGGATACATAGGTTTTGTATCATAGAAAGGAGAGTTATTATTTATATATATAAAAATATTCCCCAAGAACCGTGTGTTCTTCTCAAAATTTGCTAATTATAAACAGTTTCTTCCTTGTGCACTGGCACTGCCAGTGGTATGGGTTAATTGGAACGCATACATCTATAATATGTGCGGCCAGGGCATTTAGTTTTCCAACCAAATAAATAAACAACCCAGGGGGTCAGATGACGACGGCGAGCGGGAGGAGAACTCTGAGCTGACGTGTACATTATTTTATAAAATGTGTCTAAGAGTTGCCAAACGTGTAGCCATAATTGAAATGTGAGCTAAAAGCGTTAGTTAACTTTCTCGACGGGCCGACGGGTCGTATGAGTGATGCAGCATTACGTATACGTACACGCCCGCTTCGGGAACAATAACCCACGTAATGATGTGTATATAGCCAGGATAGAATGTATGTATCCATATATGATGTGCCTGTAATTACGCTTTGATAAGCAGACAAGTAATGCATAAAAAAATACAGACAATGTCAGGCTGCTGACGGGAAACAAAAGAATCTATAAGCAGGCGGGTCGGTTGCCTGCACATATAGATAGATTGCTGTGCCACGATATAAAAAAAAGAGGAAACAGGAGAAACTTGCCATTTCATAATTAATACACCAAGGAGGGGGATTCAGGGAGTCCTGTGCCAGAAGAGGGATAATGAGCGAGGCAAAGGATTAATGCAACATTAAACAAAGGCACCACCAACAGACAGGCGGGTATGGGCGACGATAGGGGATAAGGCACGCCAAAGGTAGTCCATCAGGCCTTGAACTTCGCTTCGCTGGCTGCTAGTTGAAATTAAAATACCCTTTCAATTTCCTGCACAAAAAATAAATACTTCATCTGCCATCCGAGACTAGGAATTGCTCCTGCGAAAACCAGATGGTCCATGATAAATGAGCTAGAATCACCCAAAAGCTGAACTCCATTAATTTAAGTCAGTCCAGAGAAATGTGCTGTGTTGGAATTACAAAGCGAAGATTTCAATTATAAATGTACACAAGTCAAGGAATAGGGTCCTTTGTCAGTTCAGTAGGATTTTAATTATAAAAAATGAATTAAATGTTTGATGAAAAATGTGTACATTTTTGGGTTTTAAACTAAAAGCAAAAAATATTCCGATTTCTTGAGGCATGTATGTTCCGATTCATAATTAAAAGCTTGATTTATTAACATAAACATATTGAAAAATAAATTTTCAAAAATTTTTCCGAAAATTGCAAAATTTTATAAGGGGTTAAAATGTTTAAATTTTACAAAAGACTCAATATTTTAAATTGTTAAATGGAGTTCGCAGATTTGTTATCCTGACCAAAACTAGCACAGCTTGCCGAATTTAAATTAGAGGTTTTTTGTCTTAGTTATGGCTTTTTAAACTTTCATTTGTCCCAAAAATATGCATATAATACCAATAAATATCGATTGAAAAAGGCAATATTTCAGGATACCTGAGGCCATAAATTGCCAAAGATTGATAATTTTGTTATATTTATGTAGATATTATTATTAAATCTATATTTTCTAGCACTTCGTTCCAAATCTCTTAAGATTTTATCTTCCTCTCCTTTAAGCGATTTTTTACATAGGCCTTAAGAAATTGTTTATTTTCATTTTTAATCCAAAATTATACATTATGAAACTGTACATTTTTATTTTTTTGTCAAAGTGTATTCTATATAGAGTAATAAAATAGCGAAATATATTCCCATAACCACAACTTCTATTCTGGTTCCCTTTTTTATTATTTTCAAATTGAAAATCGCGATTAATTAAGTCGATTTACAAATGTCTGATCCACATAAATTTCCAATTTTACCCCCTGCTTACCACAGCTGGTACACCCACAATGGAGCTGGTCCCTTGCCCGTGCTGAGTGGACCTCGTGTGCGACTCCTTGGCCCCATCCTGGCCATTGAGGCTGTGACCGGGGAGGACTCTGGCGTTTACAAGTGCACCGCTGGCAATGTGGGCGGTGAGGCCAGTGCCGAGCTACGTCTTACGGTGGCCACACCCATCCAGGTGGAGATCTCGCCCAATGTGCTCAGCGTTCATATGGGCGGCACAGCGGAGTTCCGCTGCGTGGTGACCAGCAATGGCAGTCCGGTGGGCATGCAGAATATTCTGTGGTACAAGGATGGACGACAGCTGCCTTCCTCGGGCCGAGTGGAGGATACTCTGGTGGTGCCACGTGTGGGTCGCGAAAACCGCGGCATGTATCAGTGCGTGGTGCGAAGGCCGGAGGGTGACACATTCCAGGCCACCGCGGAGTTGCAATTGGGAGGTGAGTCATTACAAAACTCTAACTTAATTTATAAATTTAATTATTTTAGATTTATATAGTTATTTTTTCTAACTTCTTCTTTTTTATTGATTTAAAAACTCCCTTCGTAGGTTTTCCAAGGCCTTTCCCTTTCCCATTGTCTCATAAAACGTTTTGCTTCACTGTTTAGATATTCTTGATTTTATGCTAGAACCTATTTTTCCCCTTGTGTGAGAATGCCACGGGTTGGCTGTTGTAGCTTAAAATATTAATGTGACCTCTTTCACACCACTCTCTCTCTCTCTCTCTCTCTCTCTTTGCATCCTTTGTAACCATGGCTTTATCCTGCAGATGCCCCGCCAGCTTTGCTGTACAGCTTCATCGAGCAGACCCTGCAGCCGGGCCCAGCTGTGAGCCTCAAGTGCTCCGCTGCCGGCAATCCTACGCCGCAAATTTCATGGACACTGGACGGATTTCCGCTGCCATCAAACGGAAGGTAATTGAACTTGTTGAAAAGGGGCTGTGAAAGTGGGAGTCCGGGTGGGAAATTGTAACTGGAACGGGGGGTGGTGCCTCCAGATGGGCTTGGCAATGGCAAACGGCAAACGGAAAACGGCTACGTTGCACAGTGGGTGATATATAGAATGCAGTTCAGAAATATATATAGAAGATCATTGGAAATTAAGATATTTAAACTGTAATTGTAACTGTAAAAAATTTTGCTGTGGGAAATACGTAATCAAAATAATACCGCTTAAAGCTCAAATATATATTTGGCTAGGATGAAAACTCTTAACTTAAGGATTCGATTTGTCTTAAAGTATACTCTTTGAGTGCTTATATTAATAATTATAATACATTATTATTTATCCTTAATTTTCCCTAAATTTTCCACTGTTTTGTCGGCGCTACGGGCGTTCTGTAAAAATTTATCTCAAATGCGGCTCCCGACTGTGGCTGCGGTTGCATTTATTGCACTCGTTGTGTGTGTTTGTGCCTTTTTTCCCCTCAGTGCCTACGTTTCTTTTTTTTTCAACATTTTCCTTTCAAAAACATTGCCGCACGAATATATAGAAAAACGTATACACATTTACCATTACATATATAGAAAAGTGGCTGCCGACTGCCGCGCCTACAAAGGTGGGTGGTGGCCACCACCTCATCGTCGTCGTCATCGTCGTCTGCTCCAGCGTTCATTCACTCCTGCAACTGCCACTGCGACTGTAGCCGTATCCGTATCCGTATTCGCATTCGGATTCGCAGCCACATCCGTATCTGTATCTGTGTCTGCGTCTGGCCCAAGGTTCCGACTTTGCCTTTCTATTTGTTAATTAAGCCTGGTCGGTCGGTCGGTCGGTCGGTTGGTTGGTCGCCCAATCCTTACATCCTTACGCATTTAATTGCATTTTAGCTGGCTGGATGCCAACTAAATTAAATGACAGCCCCACCAGTCAGTCAGGTCCTTTAATGACATTGACATTTGCATTGGCCGAATAAAATCGAAGAGGCTCGGATCCAGTATCAAGTTGAATCGAATGCGGGGACCTCAAATAGTTTGTTGGCTTAGTGTAAGTAAATAAAATGCAGCGACAAATCGATTGATTGCCAATTCGGTCTGCGACATTGTCAGCGGCATTTTATTGATTGTTTTTTGTATATATCTGTATCTGTGAAATACCAGTGAAAATTTGTATCTGTGTATCTACTGGGACTGATTCGCTGCCAGCTGCCACTAATTGTTTGAGTTACGTCTGTAATCATTTGCAAGTCAAAGTTTTCACCCCGGCCACTGTTGACTTCTGTTGTTGATTAAAAACTACGAGTACCAAACAGCAGTTACCATCAAAATCAGCATCAGGTTTTTATTTGCATTTGCTTTTTGCTTTGCTGATGCACAGCAGCGTAATAATAAAAACAAGAACAAAAAAACTGGAAAATAAAACAAAACTAAGGCGACAGTGTCCTGATTGTTGTCCTGCCTTGGCCCAGCTGAGTTATATTTAATTAAAACTGGGCAATATGTCGAAGGCAGATGATGAGCAGCTATCAACATGATGGGTTTTGAGCAAAACACGACCATGAAATACCTCTTAAACTAAATATATTTTAAGCAAATTGATGTCATAGATAGAATATCCTGTCATATGTATTTAGGGGAAGAATATTTTAAAGACATCCTCTTATCTAAAGCTCATATATCATTGGACTTTAACCCTTTAAATGTTCACATAAAAAGATGACCACTTTTTATGCACTTGTGACTGCAACTTAAGTCATCGTCATGAATTCACTTCACCCAAGTGGCCATCCTTCTTTGGGTCCTTTGGACCTGCGGCAACCCATTCCCATTCCCATACCACTTCTTCGATGGCCAAGGAAGATGGCCTGACCACAAGGCAAAATTGATTACAAAATTTGTGTGTTATGTGGTCGGTGTGAAAATTTGCTTTTGGGAAACTTGTGCGGACATGCCCGATGCCGATGGCTTTAATTTAAAAGTTATCTGAGCAACACAATTTTGACACATAATGCCCGTAGGCATTATCCTTAGCCCCGGCATAGCTGGCAACCTAATTTGCCAGCCGGCAAAACATCCTTCGAAATGCTGAATAAATTCTCTTGCCGGTTGCCGTCTACCGTTGCGTTGTTATTGCCGAGTTTTAAGTGGTTTACATTATTCGGTTTAAAGGTATATCAACTTGGTAAGTGTATTTATTTAATACACACACACACATTCACTCTGCAGAGTGGCAGACAGACAGGCAAACAGGCACAATGGGGCGGGAAAGTGGCAGGAAAATGTAGGGGGGCGGCGGTGGCGGAAAGATGGAAGGCAGACGCCTTGGGGCGGAAATTAAATGATTGCGCGCACGAGGTAACGCAACACTCAAACGCTCATTTTACGCCATTTTCAAAAGTTTGTCTGCGGCGGTGCCAGAAACTGAGGCACCACTCAGCAGGCCCAAGCTGAGCGGAGGAGGCGAGATGTTTCCTTCAGTTTTCCTTAGCTTTTCCTCTGCCGTCAGTTTTTCCTGTGCCTGCCCTGTGCCTGGAAGTCTGTGAAGATGGAGGCTTTTGGAGGCGTGTATGCGTGTTGCGTTTGTCTACAACTGCAGGCGTTATGGAAATGTATGTAATTTTGGCCTAAATGAGAAAACGCTTAAGCGTTGGCAGGAATGCTTTTAGCAAGAACCACTCATATGAGTTACACAGATATATCTCTACACTATTAGGTTCATATTACTAATGAAATTTTTAGAAGATTGTTTTATTTTTAAAAAGAAATTCTACTTAAACCCATATAAAAGATAGGAATATATATAATATGCAAAGTCTTTCTTATTTCTATATATATCCCTACATTATCAGGTTAATAATACTAATAAAATATTAGAAGATTGTATAATTTTTTAAAAGAAATCATACTTTCAAGCCATATAAAAAGAAAGGAATATTTACAATAATGCAAAGTCCTTCGTATTTCTTTAGATTCAAATATTTAAATAAAGTTTCCAAAGTTTTAAAATACAGATTTAAATTTCAATTGCAAAGAAGGTTCTTGGTTAACATAATAACCATTAATCTGTGCTGGAAACTATCCTGATTGGATCCAAGTGCAAACTCAATTCGACTAAATTGAAATTCATAATTTTTCGCCACGAAAGTTTCACTACAACCCCCTTCTAAAAAGTGCACCTAGTGAAATTCTTATCCTTGTGTTTCCTTTTTGGCAGGATCTGGAATTAAGCCACCCGCAGAGCAGGGCACTCACAGAAGCACAGCAACTGCAATCAGCTAAACAGCACACAAAAGCCGCGCCAAGCTATTAGGTTTATATTGTTGCAGCCAAAGCGTTTTATGCTCCACACACACATTTAAACTTCTGCAATGCCGTTTAAGCCGGCATGGTGCGGATGTGGTGTGGATGTGGATACGACTGTGGAGGATGAGGATGTGTGCAACTTTGTTGCAATTTTGTCCTCGCCATTGTTTCAATGCGCTCAAGTGTTGCAGTCCAAGTGTCTCCCATCTCTGGGGAGAGGGCGAGCGGCTTCATTTCACTTAACTACAGTTGCTGTTTTTACAAGCCTGGGCACACACACTCTATAAAAGATTTTTCGGCTGACTTGGCCACTCTTTCTGGGGAAATCAGCGCAGAAGCTGGCCGGGACTTATGCATCATAAGCTCCGCACGATACGGCCGCTGCAAAGTTAATTAAAATTGTAATTACTTCTCCTTCGCCATTATTGTTACGGCTCCAACTCCAACTCCGACTTCCGGCTGTAATGCCAATTGAAAAGTTGCCACCGAGCAGGGGCCACAAACTAATGAGCCAACGGTGTGTGTATGTGTGCCGGCTTAGAACGCAATCCCGGCCATATAAGATGCCACAAAAGCCGATTGTGTGAGTGCCACATGGCGTATGCGTAACAATGTTGCCTGTAATTAATGTCTGTGCCAATAAGAAGGCACTGCAAACAAAAGAACCCAACAGAGAAGCGAACGAAACGAAACGAATGGCACAGAACTTAATGCCAACTTGGGCGCCTCCTGAAATCCTTTTTCCTCATTATTGAGCTCAGCGTAACGGCCGCATTAAGTGGAAGTGGAACTATAGGGAAGTGGGCATGGGCGTGGCACATGACATTGACGGCAATATGGAAACTATGCTAAGCCCCGACAGCGCGACTGACAGCCTTCATTACGACTAAATGTGGCAACGACAAAAAAATAGAAAAACACGCAGGCAAAATAAGAGATGCCAAGGCAAAATATACAAAATGAAGCCTACAGCCAAAAGGGATTTGGGTCAGGCTGCATTTTTGAAGTGTGCCTAGCTGATGAGTGTACCGGTGCAGTGGTGTGTGTGTCCTTAAATATGCAAAAGCTGCTCAAAAAAAAAAGAAACAAAATAACAACTCTAAAACAAGGCAGGCATTGCGCATTCGCCGCGTGCGCCTAAAATTGCATCCAAGCCAATATTAATGTGTTCTTTATGCTCTCAACCCCTCTTGCCGTTGCAGATTTATGATCGGACAATACATCACAGTGCATGGCGATGTAATTAGTCATGTTAACATAAGCCA